GGCAGCAGGCCTGAATAAGCATCGAACAGAAATTAATTAAAAATACTCACACTGTTTCGTCGCATACACAACATACACTTTATTCATGTTAAATAACTACAGATTCATGCTCTATGCTCCGCTCGAAACTTTTGCCAGCTCTATGATGCGAATTTCTACAAAGTAGTTGGATCTCATTTCAAAGACAAAAATGGCCAACCGGTCACCATGGCTACGCTATTTGACGCAATGTAACAACTACACGACAGGACCAATTTTACTTCTAAGGCTTTCTAGACGTCCACGAGACATCTAACTTGCGTGCATAATGCTAATTATTGCACTCTAGTCGCGAATTTTACCGAAAAAAATCATTTAAAAAAGGCCTTTTCTAGGGATTAAATACTGTAATTTGCGGAAGGTTACTGTTGTATGCCCCCTTTAGTTTAAGATTTCCCGTTCACCAAACCAAGGCAATACCCGGAGAAGCAAATGAGTTAATTGTGTTCGCTAATCGAAACAACGACAGTTAATATTTTTTTCTTAATTGCTACGTTATAGTTATATATTATAGTCAGAAGTTATAAATTGCCATGAGGGTGTTTACAACACTTATGATTGAAACATAATCAATCAACTCAACCGAGCTAGTGAATCTCGCAAAATCGTCCCTCATCCGCTCCTGCGCGAAATCCCCTCCTACTATACTATTTTACCTCTCCTCCGCCTATACTCTTTCTTTTCTCCGCCTCTGCCTTTGCCCTGCAACCTCGGCATTACTTTTACTCCTACTCACCCTCATCCGTGTCCTCTTCTCGGTCCTAACTGAAATAAGTGAACAAAAAGAACTATTTTCGGTAGCGGAAGGGTTATTGTCGGAGTGAGCTGACGGGTGCTGGAGGCCACCGGCAGGGGACGAGGTGGCGTAAAGCCACACTTGGATGTTGATATCTGTTGCCTGCGATGCGTATACTAGCCAGTACACAATCTGGCTACGTTAGTGTGTTAGCGCATGCGCAATATCTCACTAGATGAGTTATATTTTGGGATGAATATGCATTTAAAATGGTTAGGGGGTATCTCAGCATAGATTTCCATAATAAACCTTTATCAATAGACCTGTGTTCATAATACGGAGAGCCCCCAAAAATGTAGGGTACAAAACACCTACTTTATGCCCTCGCGTCCTTCTCCTTGCCTCCCATGTCCCTCTCTCAGCCTAATTCTTCTTCTACCGCCCCCAACTATCTTCTCTGCCGCCTTTCCTCAGTCTCCCATCCCCTCACTCCTTCGGCAAGCTATATTATGAAGTTTACCTCAGACGGCACTGCACGCCTAACACGGTGCGCGCGCATGCGCAATATCTCCCGAGAGAAATCGTATTTTGCAAAGATTATGCATTTAAAATGAAGAGGAGTTATCCTAGCATAGATTTATATGATAACATTCCATCTGTAGAAATTATTTAAGAAATAGGAGGAAGACCTTGCATGTAAGGTCCTGGCTGCGTATACCAGCCAGTACACAGTCTGGCTACGTTAGTGTGTTAGCGCATGCGCAATATCTCACCAAAGAAGTTATATTTTGTGATGAATATGCATTTAAAATGGTTAGGGGGTATCTCAGCATAGATTTCCCTAATAAACTTTTATTAGTAGACCTCTGTTTATAATTAGGAGAGCGCCCTAGCATGTAGTGTACAAAACACCTACTTTATGCCCTCGCGTCATTCCCCTTGCCCCCCTGTCCCTCTCTCAGCCTCCTTCTTCTTCTACCGCCCCCAGCTATCTTCTCTGCCGCCTTTCCTCAGTCCCCCATCTCCTCTCTCCCTCAGCAAGCTATATTATAATGTTTGCTTCAGACGGCACTGCACGCCTAACACGGTGCGCGCGCATGCGCAATATCTCCCCAGAGAAATCGTATTTTGCAAAGATTATGCATTTAAAATGAAAAGGAGTTATCTTAGCATAGATTTATATAATAACATTCCATCTGTAGATATAATTTCAGAAATAGGAGAAAGACCTTGCATGTAAGGTCCTGGCTGCTTATACCAGCCAGTACACAATCTGGCTGCGTTAGTGTGTTAGCGCATGCGCAATATCTCACCAGAGGAGTTTTATTTTGTGATGAATATGCATTTAAAATAGTTAGGGGGTATCTCAGCATAGATTTCCCTAATAAACATTTATCAGTAGACCTCTGCTTATAATTAGGAGGGCGCCCTAGCATGTAGGGTACAAACCACCTACTTTATGCCCTCGCGTCCTTCCCCTTGCCTCCCCTGTCCCTCTCTCAGCTTCCTTCTTCTTCTACCACCCCAGCTATCTTCTCTGCCGCCTTTTCTCAGTCTCCCATCCCCTCTCTCCTTCAGCAAGCTATATTATAATGTTTCCCCCTGCAGCCACCGCCGTCAAACTTCCGTCGTCTTTCTCAGGCGTGCTAGCCAGCCACCCGCCGTGACCCGTATCTGCCGTGGTTTGCTCTTTTTATAGCCGTCACTGTCGCAGCACCGCGGCTGCTTGTGAGTGAAAGAACGAGGGCAAGTCGGGTGCGGGTCGCTCCAGTCTATTCTCTCATGTTTTAGACAGCGGACGGTGGGGCGCTGGGGTGAATCAACGGTCGCGATCTCTTGTGACTGTATGGTAAGAGCATAAACCGCATAAACGAAACGACGACCGAATCGTCAAGACTCGCAAATCGTCGTCGCCGGGGGCGGCGGCGCGTCCTTCAACCATGAGCCGGCCGCCAGGGGCCGCGATGATCGCAGGCGGATGCTGGGGCAGCTGAGGGCGCACGCTCCTAGCGCGCGTGGTGGTGGGAGGGGGAGGAGGAGGAGGGTGAGGAGGAGGAGAGCGCTGCATGAACTTGCGCTGCGGAGTGATCAGTCGCCTGCAAATGCCAGCCGGTAGCTCGCAGCTCACGGCGGGCGAGCGAGGCAGCGTGGGACGCGGCGGGGAGCGAGCGAGACGACGCGTGAGCCCACACACTGCCGCCAAGTGCTGCTGCGGCGGCGTCTCCGTTCACGTGATACTCCAGCGTCGCTACGACAGGCGGTGCTGCCCCGCCGCGCACGCCCACCGCGTGTATGGGTATGCGCGCGTGATTTCGCTGACGACAAAGACGCTATAGGAGCTGCGCTGGTTGTGCGGGCGCGTGGTTGCGGTTAATGGTAATATCCCCGTGTGAACGTAGAGACCGTCGGTCCATGCTGCGAGCACCGCAAGCATGCTGAACAACTAGATTGAACAGCCAGTGAACAGCTAGGGTGAACAGTTAGTGAACAGTTGTGTTGTTGAATAGTCAGTGAACAGCTAGGTTGAACAGTTACTGAACAGTTGTGTTGAATAGTCAGTGAGCAGCTATAGGTTGAACAGTCAGTGAACAGCTAAGGTGAACAACTAGATTGAACAACCAGTGAACAACTAGAGTGAACAGTTAGTAAACAGCTAGACTAAACAGTCGGTGAACAGCGAAATTGAACAGTCAGTGAACATCTACGTTGAACAGTCAATGAACAACTAGCGTGAATACCTAGGTTGAACGGCTAGTGAACAGCTAGGCTAAACAGCTAGTGAACACCGCGGTTGAACAGTGAGTGAACGGCTAAATTTAACAACTAGTAAACAGCTAGACTGAACAGTCAGTGAACAGCGCGGTTGAACGACTGTAGTGAACAGGTTTGACTCTCGCGGCACGCCCCACGCGGAAGACGAGCGGCGCGATGTCACGAGGCGTTACCACCGCGGGCAGAAGAGTTGCTCGCTCAGTGATCGAGGGACGTTTGTTCGTCGTGATGCGTCGTCCACTCGTGCTGTTACCGGCGCCGCGCCGCATTCATGCAGCCTGTGTAATATCAGCAGAGCAGTGAAGTGCAGAGCTTCGATCGTGACGCTTCGCAGAGGTTCGCTGACTGTGATATATAGCCACCACTACCGCCAGCAGCAGCACCAGCAGTAGTAGTAGCAGCAGCACTATCACCACGAGGAGCAGTGGCAGTAGCACCACCACCACCTCTAACAACAGCAGCAGCACAACTAGCAGCAGCACCACCACCACCACCAACAGCGGCAGCACAACTAGCACCACCACCACCACCACCAACAGCGGCAGCACAATTAGAATCTGCAGCAGCAGTAGATGCGACGTAAGCAGCAATAACAGCTGCTGCAACAGCGGCAGCACCAGCATCAACAAGCATCAACAACGATCAACAACTATCAACAACTATCAACAACAACAACAAGAAGCAGGAGTAGAGCACTGCAGCGGCGGAAGCAGCAGCAACGACAGAGATAACAACAACAACAACAACAACAGGAGCAGCAGGCGGCGGCCGGTGTGAAGGAACCGCGGATAGGCGCATGGGCGTGTCGTGACTGGCCGTGTATACCGTACATGTTACGTGCGCGCGTGCGTGCGTCTTGCGTGCGTGCACACTCGCGCGACACACGCAGACGGACGTGAACGCGTTCGTTTCCCTCCGTTCGCCTCTGCTGGCGTGAATAATCGTTCTCGCACGAACGAGCGCGCAGCCAAGCGCGCCTGCCAACGACCACACGACTCGCAGCGCGCGCCTCAACCCCTCTCCCCGCGCCTCCCCCTCCCCGCCTCCCTCCCTCCTCCTCCCCCAAGCCGCTGCGACGTACGACTGACTGCCGGCATCGTATTTGTTCAGTGTGCGACGATGAAGGAACGACAGCGGCAGCGCTGTGTGTGTAGCGGCGGAGGCACAGCAGGGCAGGATTAGCGTGTACGTACCGACAGCACCGCGTGCGATATCAAATGACTATTAATCGAACGACGGGAGTGTCGCCGCGGATGGTGATGCGCGAGTGCGAGAGCTCTCCATAACACCGCTGACCTCGTTTGTCGGATAGCAGCAACAAGGATAGCAGCTTGTCGACGTCGGCATTGCGTATTGTTGGCACACAGATCCCGTCGGCAAACACGCAAGCAGACATACACACAGGCGAGCACACACACGCACACACACACACACACACACACACACACACACACACACACACACACACACACACACACACACACACACACACGTGCTTACACACACGTGATTGCCGGATGGCATGACGCCGAGGCGACGACAAGCGGCCGACTGCACCGTCGTCGTCGCCGCTCGTCTGCTCGCCTACATCGCGGTGACAACGCTTGTCGGCCGTGCCGACGCCTGCCCGGACGGCTGCTACTGCATCGTACGTCGCAACCAGCTTGTCGCCGACTGTTCGTCGGCCGGCTACGCCGACGTGCCGGAGACGCTGCCGGCGACGACGCTCGTGCTGCGCATGGACAACAACTCGCTGTCGACGCTGGGCAGCCTCACGCTGCGCACGGTCGTGCCTAACCTGCAGGAGCTGTCGCTCAGCGGCAGCGGCCTGACGTCGCTGCACGCCGACGCGCTCGTCGGTCTGCGTAACCTCGCCGTGCTCGACGTCGCCAATAACCGACTGTCGGCCGTGCCGACGGTGACGCTAGGCGGCGCTGCGCAGCTGCGTAAGCTCGATCTTTCCGGAAATCCGCTGCACGACATTGGCGACGCAGCCTTCTCGGCGTTGTCGCATCTTACTGAGCTGGATCTGAGCGCGTGCAGGCTGGAGCACGTACACGACACGACGTTCGTCGGCCTGTCGGCGCTGCGCGTGCTCCGTCTGGCCGACAACCGGATACGTCGGCTCGACGCGGTGTGCTTCCGGCCGCTGACGTCGCTCATGCAGCTCGAGCTGAGCGGAAATCCGCTGCACTGCGACTGCGTCATGCGCGACACGTTCGCATGGGTGCGTCGCCGCTGGATCGGGCACGCTGCGTCGCCTGTCTGCGTCGCGCCCGACGCGCTGCGCGGCTCTTCGTGGGAGAACATGACGGAGGCGCGATTCGCCTGCCCGCCGACGGTGCGCGCGCGCCTGCTACCTCCCGCCGACGACGACGACGACGCGTATGCCGCCCTGCGGGTCGAGTGCGAGTCGGTGGCGGACCCTACGGCGACGATGACGTGGCTGCACGACGGGAAACCCCTCAGCCCGCACGATCTCACCTTCTCAATCACGGCCTCGGGTTTCCTCGACCGACAGAGCGTGCTGGAGCTGCGAGGCCCGCGCAGGCGCCACGTCGGCGAGTACACGTGCGTCGCCGCCAACGCCGCCGGCAGCGTCAACGCGTCGGTGCTCGTCGACGCGGGCGTCGGTGGCGCCGCCCCGCGGCGGCCTCGCGCCTTCGCTCTGCCCGCCGGCCTCGCGGCCGTCATCATCGTCTGTTCGTTTGGCGTCGTCGTTCTCTTCGTCGTCTGTGTCGTCGGCTACCTGTTCCGTCGCCGACGCACCCTGGTCACGAAGGGTCGGCGGCGACGACAGGCGAAGAACCGCGTTAAGGTCGAGCTGTACGCCGGCAGCGCCGCCGAGCGGCACACGAAAGACACGGACGCGATCGTCATCGTCGGCGGCTCGCCGATGGTGGCGCCACGCGGCGGCGGCGGGGAGCCGGCGGGGAGGACGTGCGAGCGCGTGGGGCCAAGCACGCCCGACGTCGTGCCGTCGCACGCCGACCCCGAGTCTCCGTCGCGCGACGCGTGCGAGCAGACGACGACAGGCTTCCCCGGAATGGCTTCATCTCTCGTGCGACCCAGGTACCAGTTCGCGCCGATACAGATGCTGGACCGCGGCAGTCGCTCCTCAGCTTCCCCGCGCAGCTCGCTGGCGTCGTCACGGAGAAGCCCCGTGCTCGGCAGCGGTCACCATGACTACGAGCATATCTTCCCGCCGCTGGGCGGACTGCGGGAGACGGATCTCGACTCGCCGCGAACGCGCACGGCCGGATATCCGCCCGTCGCGCTTCCGCTGAACTGCACCGAGACGAATCTGTAATTCAGGAAGCAGCGCGCGCTTTCCCTGCAACGCCCCCTGCCGTCTAAATGGGTCGTCGGCCGGATTGGCGGGCAGGCGGTGGGAGGAAATGGTGGATGCGCTTTCGTCGACACGAATCGTGGTCGGGCAATATCGGCCGTGTAGCGATGCAGCGTCGCACGCGCACGGTCATCGACACCGTTTCGCTGACAGCCGAGCAACAATACCACAGACAATATCAGCAGCGCGTGGCGGTGTCTCTTCACCACGCGGCGTGCGGCTATCGCCTGCTAGCAGACGATCTGTAGAGCGCTGCGGTGTCTCTTCACCACGCGGCGTGCGGCTATCGCCTGCTAGCAGACGATCTGTAGAGCGCTGCGGTGTCTCTTCATACGCCGGTCGTGCGCGCTATCACTCCTAGCACACGATCTATATGAGCGCTCCCGGTGTCTCTTCCACGACGCGGCGTGACGGCTCTATCGCCTGCTAGACAGAGATCTGTAGAGCGCTGCCGGTGTCTCTTCACCACGCGGCGCTGCGGCTATCGCCTGCTAGCACTCGATCTGCTAGAGCGCTGCGGTGTCTCTTCACCACGCGGCGTGCGGCTATCGCCTGCTAGCAGACGATCTATAGAGCCTGCGGTGTCTCTTGCACGACGCGGCGTGCGGCTATCGCTGCTAGCAGACGATCTATAGAGCGCTGCGGTGTCTCTTCACACGCGGCCGTGCGGCTATCCCTGCTAGCAGACGATCTGTTAGCGCTGCCGGTGTTCTTCACACGCGGCGTGCGGCTATCACCTGCTAAGGACGATCTATAGCGCGCTGCGGTGTCTCTCAACCCGCGGCGTGCGGACTCGCCTGCTAGACAGACGATCCTATAGAGCGCCTGCGGTGTCTCTCACCACGCCGGCGTGCGGCTATCGCCTGCTAGCAGACATCTGTAGAGCCGCTGCGTGTCTCTTCACGATCCGCGCCAGTGCGGCTATCCCCTGCTAGCAGACGATCTCGTAGAGCGCTGCGGTGTTCTTCACCGACGCGGCGCTGCGCGCTTATCGCCTGCTAGCAGACGATCTATAGAGCGCTGCCGGTGTCTCTTCACGACGCGGCGTCGGCTATCGCCTGCTACGCAGACGATCTGTAGAGCGCTGCGGTGTCTCTTCCCACCGTGCCGTGCGGCTATCGCCTGCTAGCAGACGATCTGCTAGACGCGCGCTCGTGTCTCTTCACGACGCGGCGTGCGGCTATCGCCTGCTAGGCAGACGATCTTGTAGAGCGCTGCGGTGTCTCTTCACGACGCGGCGTGCGCTATCGCCTGCTAGCAGCACGATCTGTAGAGCGTCGCGCGGTGTCTCTTCACCACGCGGCGGGTGCGGCTATCCTGCTAGCAGACATCTGTAGCAGCGCTGCGGTGGTCTCTTCACCACGCGGCGTGCGGCTATCGCCCTGCTAGCAGACGCATCTGTAGAGCGCTGCGGTGTCTCTTCACGCACGCGGCTGCGGCTATCACCTGCTAGCAGACGATCTGTAGAGCGCTGCGGTGTCCTCTTCACACGCGGCGTGCGGCTATCGCCTGCTAGCAGACGATCTGTAGAGCGCTGCGGTGTCTCTCACCACGCGGCGTGCGGCTATCCCCTGCTAGCCAGACGATCTGTAGAGCGCTCCTCGGTGTCTCTTCACGAACGCGCGCGTGCGGCCTATCCCTGCTAGCAGACGATCGTGTAGAGCGCTGCCCGGTGTCTCTTCACGACGCGGCGTGCGCTATCCCTGCTAGCAGACGATCTGTAGGCGCTTGGCGGTGTCTCTTTCACGGACGCGGTCGTGCGGCTATCGTGCCTGTAGCGCAGCGATCTGTACAGAGGCTCGCGTGTCTCTTACTCACGCGGCGTGGCGGCTATCGCCTGCTAGCAGACTATCTGTAGAGCCTGCGAGTGCTCTCTCTCCACACGCCGGCGTGCGGCTATCGCCTGCTTAGCAGATCGATCTGTCTCAAGCGCTCGTGTCTCTTCAGCGACTCGCTCGGCGTGCGGCTATCGCTGCTAGCAGACCGATCCTATGAGAGCGCGCGTCTGCTCTCCTTCATCCGACGCGGCCGTCGGCCTTATCACCTGCCTAGCAGACGATCTGCTAGAGCGCCTTGCTCCGGTGTCTCTTCTCACGACGTCAGGCGCTGCGCTTGCTATCCACCTGCCTACGCACGATCGATCTGTCTAAGAGCGCCCTGCTCGTGTCTCTTCCACCACGCTCGAGCGCTGCGGTCTATCGCCTGCTAGCAGACCTATTATCAGAGTGCCGCTCTGCTGAGCTCTCTCTTCGAGCCGCGGCGTGCCGGCTATCATCCGCTGCTAAGCAGGACGAATCTGTAAGAGCGCCTGCCGGCGTCTCCTTTCACGACGCGGCGCTGCCGCTGTCGCCTGCCTAGTCACACGACTCTGTAGAGCGCTGCTCGTGTCTCCTTCACGACGCGGGTCGCGGCTATCGTCCTGCTAGCAGCACGATTCTGTAGAGCGCTGCGGTCGCTCTCCTTCACGACGCGGCGGTGCGGCCTATCGCCTGCTAGGCCTGACGATCTATAAGAGCCGCTCGCGGTGTCTCTCTTCACACGGCCGTGCTCTCTAGTCAGCCACGACTTGTAAGCGCTTGCCCGGTGTCTCTCACCGACGTCCGTGCTGCGCGCCTATCTTGCCTGCTAGCAGACGATCTGTAGAGCGCCGCGGTGTCTCCTTCACGACCGCGGCGTGCGGCTATTCACCTGCTAGCGGACTATCTGTTCGCTCGCGGGTCTCTTACACGGACGACGGCGTGCCGGCTCATCTCACCTTCGCTTAGCAGACGATCTGTAGAGCGCTGCGTGTCTCGTCACGACGCTAGTAGCGGCTATCACCTGCTACGCATGACGATCTGTAGCAGCGCTGCGGTGTCTTCTCAGCGCTACCGCGGTCACCATCCCGTGCGGCTATCGCTGCTATGCAGCACGATCCTATAGAGCTCTTGCGTGTCGTATTCACCACCCGGCGTGGCGGTCTTATCACTGCGGAGCAGCACGATCTGTAGAGCGCTGCGGTCTCGGTCACTACCCGGCGTCGCGGCTTATCACCTGCTAGTCAGACATCTGCTAGAGCGCTTCCGGCTGTCTCTTCACATCGCGCGCGCGCGGCTATCACCCTGCTCAGCAGCACGATCTGTGTAGAGGCGCTGCGCGTGTCTCTTCACCAACGCGCGCGCCTGCGCCTTATCACTCTGCCTAGCAGACGATCTGTAGAGCCGCTGCGTCACGCCCATGTCTTCTCTCACGACGCGAGTGCCCGCTCTCCCGCCTCACTCCCTCCCTCTTCCCTGTCGGCTATCCGCCTTGCTAGCAGACGATCTATAGAGCGCTGTCCGCGTGCTCTCTTCCCCACGCGCGCGTGCCGCATATCGCCTTCGCTAGCAGACCGATCTGTAGGGCAAGGCGCGGCCGGCTTTTCGCGCGGTGCGGCTGTCTCTCGGTCTTCTTCCCACGCGCGGGTCTGCGGGCTATCGCCTGCCTAGCGAGACGAATCTGCTAGAGCGCTGCTCCAGGTGTCTCTTCACGCGCGGCCCTGCGGCTATCGCCTGCTAGCAGACGATCTGTAAGCGCTGCGGTGCGTCTTCACACGCGGCGTTGCGCTATCGCTGCCTAGCAGACGATCTGTTAGAGCGCTTCCGTCTTGTCTTCTTCCACACGCGGCTTTGTTTTCTATCGCCCTGCCTAGCACACTCGCCTCTGCTAGCAGTGCGTCCCTCCCCTGCGGTGTCTCTACCGACGCTGCGTGCGGCTATCGCCTGCTAGCAGACGATCTGTAGAGCGCTGCGGTGTCTCTTCACGACGCGGCGTGCGGCTATCGCCTGCTAGCAGACGATCTGTAGAGCGCTGCGGTGTCTCTTCACGACGCGGCGTGCGGCTATCGCCTGCTAGCAGACGATCTGTAGAGCGCTGCGGTGTCTCTTCACACAGGCACTTGGAGCGTTTCAATAAAATATCATGCTAAATAAGTACGAAAGCTGTTTACTACAAAGTCTTAATGTTTCTCTACTCTCTTTTGCCTATTATTGCCGACAATTTCCTGTAAATGCCGTAATATAGAGACGCATATATATATATGTGACAGTGTGCGGCAGCGTGCGCGCGGTGTACATGTGTGTTGCAAAGGAGCATTTGCACGGCATTTAAAGGAAATTGTCGGCAATAATAGACGAAAGAGAATAAAGAAACATTAAGACTTTGGTAGTAAATAGATTTCGTATTTATTTAGCATGATATTTTATTGAAACGCTTCAAGTGACTGTGTCTCTTCACGACGCGGCGTGGCAGCTATTGCCTGCAAGCAGACGATAGCCGACATCCGGGTCCCTCGCGCGGTTGTCACAAATGAGGTGACGTAATCGAGGGTCGCGCAAGGATACGGCGCGTGACTGATGCGCGTTCGTCGCCGAATGCGTCGTCCACCGCACCACGTGGCGACGCCCATCGGAGAACAATGACAGTATTGTTTCGTCAAAAACGATGACGTATGCGCGCGCTCGATATGCGTTCTACAGCCGTGTACACACACGTATACCATCTCGCTCTCTCGTGAATAAAACCCTCGTGTTTAAGCTATAGTGAACTCGCTCCGATTACTTCTTCTCTTGTGTTTACGTGTTTTCCCGAGGGTCGATATGCTACTGTATGCGCGCAGTGCATACACCTGCTCAGGTGTATGGGTATACGTTAAGAAATTCGGCTGCCATCGCCGGCAGACGTTTCGGTGCATGCGTATTAACCCTTCAATCCCCTCGTCATGTCATCGGTTTTATGCGTTCCATCATTCGGAGTTAGATATATAGTCCCGGGACGCCTAACGAATTATGATGTACCATCCCGGGGTTAAAGTATTCGGATATACAGCGGGCGTGCACGCACGCACGCACGCATGCATGCATCTATAGTGCAATTAACCCCATCGCATGTCGAGCGCGTTTACAACGCATTATAGTTCAAAGGCGTTCATACGACGCCAATGC